TATTGGCCAGAAAACGGATTATGGCCAAGTAACTTCAAGATATCTAGTAAATATTACTGCTTCTGTTACTATTGTCAACGTTGCTGCAATTATTTCAATCGATACATTCTTGTATTTTTACTCTTTTTGGCTACTACTGCAAAATCACATCCATTATCGAAACCAGCTACGGTTAGCATTTTTTTTTTTAATTTGTAAATTTGTAGTTTTTTTCAAACTTTATTATGAATTTCTTTTAGAAATTAACTTTTCTAAAGGATTTTTTTTTAACTTTAATATTGCAGAAATCACTTTTTTTTCTTTTAAAAGAAAGAGATATAATTAATTATGGTCCTTGAGATTTTATTGTAAGTCAACACTCATCTTAACTTTTTTTAACTTATCCAAAATTTAACTTTTCATTAGAAATTTTTGGATGAGAAAAATACATGATTGGGAGTAATTTGATGCAGAAAAAGATAAATTTTCTTTAAGAGTGGATTTTTTTAGATTTATTCATTTGTTTTATTACATTACCAACCAATCTTTGTGTAATAAGGTTTGGTATCTCGCGCAATTTTTTGTTAATTTCTTATTTTGTTGTCAATTCATCTTTTTCCATTAATTTCTCCTCATTTTCTATAATGTTAATTTTGCTCGACTTATTCTATGTGAAACTTCGCGCTCGATATGTTTGTTACCTATCATATCAGTAAACCTTCCTGTCTATTCTGCTTTTTGCTTTCTAGGTGCAAAAAAAAAGAAAAAAACGACGAAAAAGAAGAAGTTGCCAATTCATTCATTTATTCTTTATACCATCGAGTTTTAAATTCAATAAATTATCAAAAATTCATTGCTACGAAACTGTATGTTTTTGTTGCAAGAACAAAAATCATTGATAGAAACAAAAAAAAAAGAAAAGAAAAGTTCAAGAATACTTTTATTAATGATGCAGAAATCGTTATGTTCACCAATCAATGATGATTTATTGTGAGCAAGCAAAAACAAAATTTCAAATTAATTATGATCGTAGACCTAGTTGAATTACCCCAGGATGACTAGACCATCTTTTTTTTTCTTTCTTATCGTTAAAAAACAGGAAATTGCTCATTATTTTCACTGTCCTAAATAGATATCATATCATTTTCTTTTTTGTCATCTTTCATTAGTTTTTTTATTTCCCATTCAATTGAAGAGAAATTGAAGAAATTCTGTTTTCAACTATTCGAACAAATTATTTTTCTTTTATTTTTATCAGAGATGGCAAAAATAAAAAGAAAGAAATGGAGCAAATCGTGAAATAGCTTCTACAGATAGTAGCACTTTTGAGATTACCGATTAAAATTTACCTGAAGTCAGCTTTGGAAGATATTGGAGTATAAGTAGTAAATTAAAAGTTAAATTCTTTTTGTTATTATAACTTTATCATTAATAATAATGACAAAAAAAAATGTAAGATTGTCGTGGATTGTAAATGTGCTCAAAAATCCTTTTGAATTAAATTATAAATTACTTCAATGGCGAGAATCTCGTAACGTAAAAGGATGGGTAATTATGAAGTGTGAAACGCCTATTATTGTAGCAAGGCCATTTCTTTTGATAGCAATTAGAATTAGTTAATGATAGAAATAATGGATGAAGTATAAATGAGAAGTGAAAGAGAAGGCTTAATTAATGAAATATTTGATTGTATTCTTAGAGCTAAGGAAACCTTTATGGTTTAATCGGTTGAAATTTATTTTTTGAATATTTGACATTTTTTTTTAATTCAAAATAGAAAATGAAAGAGATAAGTGATAAGTTAAAGTGATAATGATTTAACCTTAAATATGAGATAGGTTAAAGTGATAATGATTTAACCTTAAATATGAGATAGGTTAAAGTGATAATGATTTAACCTTAAATAATTGTCATCCACTAACGTTATCAATGCAATCATTGACTTTAAATTTTAACAAATCTTGGTTTACAGATTTACTAAGGAAGCAAATTTTTGGATATCATTATTTTTATGCAAATATGTGACAAGTTAAAGTGATAATGATTTAACCTTAAATAATTGTCATCC